AGCAGGAAAGCTGACGTTTCGGCCCGAAACGTCAGCTTTCCTGCTCCTCTGATGCTGCTTGGCCTGCTGTGTTCATCCAGCTCTACACCTTGTTAACTCAGATTCTCCAGCATCTGCAGTCTCTACTATCTCTGAAACAGTGATAAAAGGAGATCCTTGCGGAAAGTGCTACATTCCATGGCAGCATTGGCCTCTGAATCAGAATCAGTTTTTGTGCAGCAAAAGTAGGTTGGATTAGGTTTCCGATTACAATAGTCTCCAAGAAGGCTAAGCGAGGATGTAATGCCGCGTTTTGAAGTGCTCAAACTCAAAGATAATATCTTGGCTGTATCATTTCTAAGTTTACTACGGTGTTTTTCTATGTACATTAATCATTCCAGTCCCCAAAATGAGTACAAATTTTTTACCAAGATAAACAAAGGCATAATATTTACAGCATCTTATATTCACAGATACCCCAGCAACTTTAAGAAAAATAACTGCTACCCGCTGTTTCAGGAAAAAAACTATATTTTAAGTGAAAAATATTAGTGCCAGTAGGTATTTTTGTTTGATTATTCTGATATTTTCAATCATTTGACTTTAACAGTGCTGTAATTTTATTATGCAACTGTTTAATTATTTAATTCAAGCCTATAACATGAAATGCAGAAAGGTTTATTTATCAAAATGGCTCTTCTACAACTGGTCAGGTTGCATATTTCTGTTAAAGGAAAAGGCCAATAGGCAACATTGCAACTGGATGAAATTCAAGGGGGGAATCAGTGATAACAAGGTGTAGAGCTGGATGACACAGCATGCCAAGCAGCATCATAGGAGCAGGAAGGCTGACGTTTCGGGGTTTCGGTGCCTAGACCCTTCATCAGATGAAGGGTCTAGGCCCGAAACATCAGCCTTCCTGCTCCTATAATGCTGCTTGGCCTGCTGTGTTCATCCAGCTCTATACCTTGTTATCTCAGATTTTCCAGCATCTGCAGTTCCTACTATCTCGGGGAATCAGTGATGTCTTGTGATCCTAAGTGCGTACATGGTTTATGAGAATTCTTGGGCGCATTGATATTGTGTTTAAATTCATATGATTGAATCCTCATGCATTCTGCATTGATGCTTGGAATTACTTATGTACAAACTAAATTAAGACAATGTACAATACAATCCTGGGGAATGCTTCATCTACCTTTCTCCATATAGTCTGCATTGATTGCAGAAGTAGATAGTGATTTAACTCGCTTGCAGACTGTATATTGCCAATTTTTCATAACCTACAAGCACTTCAGATGGGCAATAATCTTGGTCAAAAATTCACACCTGGTCGATCAAGGATGCATAACTTGTTTAGGCTTCAGAAACTGAACAAAAGCTTTCAGTGACCTGATTGTGAACATTTGATTTTCTAAATTATTATTGATCCTACCAAGAAATTGCAGATCTAAAAAGATGAAATGAGGATCATCCTTATGACTTTCATATTTTAGGTAGATAATTGAGCAAATAAAAACAAAGTACTGTTGGAAATGCTGAAACAAAAAAAGATAATGCTGAAGAAACTAAGTAGATGTGGCAGCATCAGTGGAGAGAGAAAGAGATTGACATTTTGAGTCCAGTATCCCTTCTTCAGAACTAGACCAGTTTTGCTTAGGCTTATAGGTTCAATAAGAAATCTTTTCCTCTCCATTTTGCTATGTGGTCAATAATCTGGGATTTCCTGTACTGGGGTTATGCGAATCCCCCCCCCAACGATATGTTAATTTTATTCCCCAAGTTTACTTTTACAGTGTCCTAATGGGTTGTTTGTTTTCTTTTCAGTTTGGTTCAATTTGTTTTATATTTTTGTCAAAAGTGTGTTCAAATGCATATGAAAAAATCTTGTCTGGAGGCAGGGAGCATGTATGTGAGTGGAGAAACAAGCTCTGTGTGAAGTAAGAAAAACATTTGTCCCAGAGTATTTTGAATAGGCCCCAGGAATCTTTAACAATTGTGTTGAGAACACAGATTCATGGCAGGCGCTCACAGATCCAGAAATAATTTTGAATTAACGATCGAGATTAACCAATAAATTTGTAGGATAATATTGCATAGCTTTGAAAGTGACATCAATAAGAAAAAGTGGTTCCGAGGACTCTTGTGGCACTGAGATAGTGTCTCTCCCTCTGGACCAGAGTCTTGGGTTCAAATCCCATCTTCTCCAGACACACAATTCCAGACGCTCCAACTGGACCTCTCTTCGTGGGCACATTGTAAAATTCATGACGTTTATCACTAGGGCTGGGCCCATGGGAACTACTTAGTTGGTTGATTTACAACATTCGTTTGGCAGTTAACACTAATTGGTTGATGAGTGTTGAACACTGTCCCCATATCACAAACAGTGAACATTTCTAAGTAGCAGATCCAATGGAGCCCAATACCAAACTGATCTGGAACTGGACCTAATGCGGTGAAATCTGGACTATTTGGTACAAAACCAGATGGCAAACACCAAACTCCTTGGGTGACACAGCTGCTGTGTCATTTCGAAGATGAGATTTAACGTATCATTTAAGTTTCTACATAAACAGAAGATTCTTCTGTTACTGCAAGGCTATAGTCACTCTGAATAAATAAAACATTAACTCAGTTTCAAACACACATTTCTAGCTTTTATCTTTGTCACCCAACAAACTTCATCAAAATTAATACTACACTTAGAAATGACATAATTATTACAAACCATCAGAATGGTTGTGGTTTGGATCCCTTTAATACCATAGAATCATAGCATTCTTACAGTGTGGAAGCAGGCCATTCAGACCATCGAGACAACACTGAGCCCGTGAAGAGCACCCACCCAGTCCCACCTCCTATCCTATCCCTGTAACCTTGCAGGTCCCATGGCTAGTCCACCTAGCCTGCACATCCCTGGATACTATGGGCAATTTAGCATGGCCAATCCACCTAAACTGCACATCTTTAGACTATGGAAGGAAACCAGAGCACCTGGAGGAAACCCACATAGACACGCAGACGATGTGTAAACTCCACACAGACAGTCACCCAAGGCTGGACTCTAACCAGAGTCCCTAGTGCTTTGAGGCAGCAGCACTAACCACTGAGCCACATGACCTGGCAGAATGGATTCATTCTGCATATTGTCATCTACAGTGAATGACCAGTATTGTAGGTACTGATTGCAGAGTGTTGCCTGATAATTGATTTCACTGATCAAAGCCAATGATTTGCAATAGCCTAGTGTGAGAAACTACAGGTAGCCATGCAAATTCACAATCACTTTAGCAATGCCTAACTTAAACCTTACATCATCACAATCAGAGATTTTCCACTAGAAATAATTTACATAAATACTGATAAAGAACATGTTAGTCGGGGATTATGTTCTCATAAAGTTCTATTCTTGTCCATTGCATAATTATGTTAAGATATTTTGGGCTGTGTTTTTTCTGTGACCAGACATTTTGTCATTTTGTTTTATTTTATTCACGGAATGAGGGCATCACTGGCTACACCAGCATTTATTGCCCATCACAGAGGACATTTCAGAGCCAACCACACTGCTGAGAGTCTGGAGCCACATGAAGACCAGACCAGGTAAGGATAAAAATTTCCTTTCCTAAATAACATTAGTGAACCAGATGGGTTTTTCCAACAAAGAACAATGGATTCATGGTCATGAGACTCTTAATTTCAGATTTTTTTTATTGAATTCATCTGCCATGGCGCAATTCTACCTCAGGTGCCCAGAACATTACCTGAGTCTCTGGAATAATAGTCTAGCAATAGTACCACTAGGCCATCGCTTGCCCTATAAGAAACCATTTGGAGTTCACATGATTGTAAATGTGGTTTATAACTTAAGACTAGTTCTATATAAATAGCTGAACAAGTCTATCCTGGGGCAACTAAGGCAGTGCACTAAATTCCAGACTGTCCAGTAGAAAACCAGATGGTTAGAGAAGCTGGGGCTGTACTCCATCTGTCCCACACCATTAATGTAATTTTATCCATTCATTATCAATATAGAATCGTGCTAACAATGATGCCATGATTGAATAGTATAGCAACATCCCTTCCTCACCTTGGCCACGAATTTGGTCATCTGGTCAGAGGTGCCCTTGGGTTGCTTCACAGGGTACAAGACTGGCTCAGACCCTTCTCCTACACTACGGCAGTCAACCAATTCTTTATCACTTGATGTAGAGATCTCAAATGGACTGTCTCCAAACAAGTGGGAACAAATACCCAACATCACTCAATTGGAGCGTGTGGAAACGTTTGTGCAAAATAGCACCTTTGATCACAGGTCCATTCATAATGTCCAAAAGGCTCTGTGGGAAAAGGAGATTATGGATCCTGAAGGACTGAAACACTTTGCAAGCAATCACTCTACAAGTTACACAAAGATTAGACAGACAAAGTAGACCAGTGACCCCTATCATCCATTCTTTCAAAAAAAGGCAGCATAAGGTAGTTCCTTGCATGTCGTCTTGTCCCGAGACTTTAACACCTATGCTGTCACTTTGCTGATAAGCCAAATCATCTACAGCTGGAAGCACAGGAGATGTAATGATTCAGAGGAATTCCTTCTGACAGGAGTCAATGATAGACTTATCAATGTCTCAATCACCTTGAGACCGGTGCTGTCTGATGCTAGACTCGAATGCAGAAGTGGGGATGCAGCAAAGCAAATTCTGTCAACTGTGACCACAGAGAGGCATCTCAAACTGTGAAATATCTCATTGAATGGCCTCTGCCACCACAGCCATGCAGTCCTGAAAGTCTTCAATTCTTGAGGTAGAGTCTGTATGGAAGTGATGAGGGAAGATGTATTGTCACAAAACAAAAATGCTACATAATCTTGGGTGTTGATATTACTGGAAAATGGTTCTGGAATTTATGAACCAGGGCAAACTGAATTTGTCAGTATGAGTTGATTTGTCTTCTCTGTGGAGTGGGAGCCTGAAGTTTCTGCAGAACTCCTAAAATGTGAAGCTGAAGCTTGACACCAGTAGGACACCAGATTTATTTTAAAATCAAATTGCTTAGATGTGTTAGAACACACATTTGGAGTTGGTGGGAGGTAGGGATATTACAAGAGCTTTTAGGGGGATATTCTCAGGCCTCATTCACTGATGGATTGTTTATGTCAGGTAGAACTGAGTGGAAGGGCATTACATAGCCTAAACACATCTGTTGCACTGCATTGTAGCATTTAAAGAATTTCGATAAGCATTATACCCCTCTACCTTATCGGGAAATGTTAAAGATCTGCAATACTATTTTGAGGAACAGCAGCGGTGCTCCTCTCAGTGTCTTAACCATTTCCTACAACATTTAAAAAGTACTTAAATGGCTGTGAAGCGTTATAAGACACCCTGAAGGTGAGGTGCTACATGAAGGCAAGTTTTTGTGAATCTCTGAAAGACTACATTTTTTTTTTGCCTCTGTTTGTTACTTCAGCCTTCACAGCAGTAATACACAATTTGAGCTGCGACCTTATCTCAGCTGAAGTATTCCTCCCTCTCTAGTTTGTACTTCCGGGGCTGGCTTTGTGTGACACTATCCGCTGAGAATGGCCTGATGCAGAGCGGTGCGAGTGTAACTCGGTATACCCGAGACATGGACTCAGGTGTCTCCACGCCGCGGGATCGCAGTGGCAACTTGCGGCGACCTCGGGCCAAGTTAGCGTTTAGCTTCCCGCCGGAAGTTCCAGCCGCTTTCGATGGTAAGTGCCGGCTACTGGCTTTGATGTAACTTGTGAGCAGATGCTGGGACCGGGGCTCCAAACCAACCTCGGCTTGCCCCGTGCGCGGATGCCGCAGTACACAGAATGACTGCAGGCAGCAGGAATCATTCAGCCCATCGCGGTGTGCTAGCTCCTTGGGCCAACCACTATAAAACACCGATTTCGCATCAACTGAAGTGTTGTCATTCAGCCTTGAATGAGCACTTTAAGGAGGATGAGACAGCCTTCGAGAGGGTGCCGAGAAGACTTCGAGAATGGTACCAGGGATGAGAAACTTCAGTTACATAGTTTGATTGGAGGACTTAAATGAAAACACGTGCAGGGAAAGAGTGGGGCGGTGGGACTAGCTAAAGTATTGTTGAGAACTGGCAGTTGACTGAATGGCTAATTCGAACCAATTGCGTGTTTCATTATTGTCCTCTTTTCACCCCACCCACCTTTCCTCCCCAAATACTTCCTGCTCAGCTATATATTCAATTCCCCTCTTTGAAACTTATCCCAAATTTGATTTTTAAAAAAATCCCATCTCTCTTATGAAGCTTCTTTAACTTCCAGAATCGGAACTCTGGTTTTGGTCTCTCTTGCTGCTGAAATTCAAATGCATTTCTAATGCCCTTCTAATTTTGTCCCGCCTCCTTCAAAGATTTGGGACACGCTTTGGGGTTCTGTATTCCTGTACCCCTCTTGAAAATTGTACCATTCATAACACTAAGTTATCTAGAACAAAAACTTGCATTTCTGTCATGTCTTTTGTGACCTCGTGATATCTCAAACTACTTCACAACCCAAATGAATACATGAGGTAACAAGGTGTAGAACTGGATGAACACAGCAGGCCGAGCAGGAAAGCTGACGTTTCAGGTCGAGACCCTTCTTCAGAAAAAATGAATACAACCTAAATGAATACATGTTACTTTTGAAGTGTAGTCACTGTTGTAACATCAGGAGTCGTGATAGCTGATTGCCATGTTGTGTATATAGATAACTTTCAAATCATTTTTAAAATACTATTTTAATTAAATTTTTTTCTCTGTCCTTCAATCGCAGAAACCGATTTGATGCAGCAGTGTAGCTTGGTAGATTGTAACCAAGCCAAAACAAAGTTGATGGATTTCACGGTTGCCATTCCCAACCAGCTATTGTTGGTCTCACTCCTGGAACATCTCTGCTTCGTTTATGAGAAAAATCCTCAGCGTTCAATGAGCCTGTTTAAATGTAAGACACAGTGAGTATGGTACTGTTGAATAATCTGGCTGAAAGACTAGGTTCCAGTAGACAGGATGACTCCTGAGTTGAAAAGAAGCAGAATGAAGGAAGATGTTTTTTTAGAGCCT